AAGAAAAAGCAGAATTTAATAACAACCACCTCACAATCATCAGATACAAGCCTTCCTTTATCATCTCTCAAGGGTCCTACCCCCATCTTAACATTTTGTTTACCATTAATGTGCCTAAAGAAATCCTTACAGTTAATTTTTACATTTTCAGCCAACCTTATCTCATACTTCCTTTTTGATGACCTAATTTCCTGGTTGAGCAACTTTCTTGATCTTCTATAATGTTCTAAATCACCATTCATACCAGTCAATTGAAATTTCTTAAATTTATGATACTTTTTTAAGTTTTACCTCTTATACCCTTTGTGAGCCAACCTGGTTTTTTACTTGCAGCCACCCTTTTCTTTCTATAGGGAATATGTTTACCTCGAATATTTTAAAATTTGTCTTTAAAAATTTTCCACATCTAATCAGTGTCTCCAAATAACTCGGTTGTCCAACTTACAACAAATAATTCCTGTCGCATCCCTTCAAAATTTGCTTTTTTGAAATTTATAACCAAAATATCAATATTCTTTGTCTCCATATGCAGCAAAACATTGAACCTAATTTCCCAATTTCAACCCTTTTAATCATTTCTTTATTTGAAGTTAACAATAAATCTAAAATACCATTGTTTCCAGTAGGTTCCTTGACTAACTGGTGAAGAAAACCATCTTGAAGAGTTTACAAAAATTTTTCTCCCTCATAGTTTGACTATAACATTTCCCAATCTATATGTCTGAAATTAAAATCACACATAATTATAACTTCATTAACAGCTGAAATCTTAATCTCATTGTAAAGTTTCTCTGTAACTTAATTAGCATCATTTGGTGGTCTGTAACAAATTCCCACTAAAAGCCTTTTCCCATTATATCCACTAATAGAAACCCAAATGGATTCAATCACCTTTCTATTTTGTTTGATATCTTCAATTTCAAGAACATTTTACATATAAAGCCACTTCTCCCCCTAACTTTAATACTCTATCCCTATTAAATAACCTGTAACCCTTTATTTCAAAGAAAGTTCTGTCATCAAAATCATCTATGTTTAATCATGTTTCACTTATTCCCATTATATCAAAGTCCCCCATTCGTACCAGTGTTCTAAAGTCATCTGTTTTATTTCTTATACTTCCAGCATTACAATAGTAAAAATTAAGCCTATCTACTTCTATAATCATTTTCTTTGCTAAACTTTTCTCTTCCTCTTATTCTTTTTGCATTCAGTTTTTCCTGGCCCTCATCACTGTTTAGTCCTAGTTTGAAACTTCCCTTACAGCTGAGTTAATAGCCGTAGCAAACAACCCAGGCCGTATCCTAATTAAATATACACCATCCATTCCAAAAAGCTCTCTTCTTCCATTGAACTGATCCCACAAGTCCAGTCAGCCTATCAGCTCATCCTTGCATATTAACATAAGCCTAGTATTTAGCCATAGTGACCTACTTACAACTTCATCCCCACAGTTAATTTTGGGCAGTATCCGTGACAAAATTATGTTATGGCCTTTCTTTTTTAAATGCTTTTATCAACCCCTTGTACTTATTAATTATCTCCTCTGACATACCTTTACCTACATTCACAACAAAAACTGCATCTCTGCTAGCCCCCTTTATTATATATCCTGCTCTGTCAGTAATATCCTCCACCTGCACCCCTGGGAAGCATAATCTAATTCATTTCTCCCTATATACCCCACAGACTAACCTATCCACATGCCCTGTCAAGGAATCACCTATAACCATAACCTCCTCAAGTTTATCGTCCACATCCTTCTCTGACCCTTTTGTTTTCCTTCCCTCCATTAGTTCCTTATCTGCAGAAGTCAAGGGTTGAAATCTGTTGCTTAATAGAATAGGCTCATTACAATTAAATCCACTACTTACTTTTAGCCCTAAAACACAGATGGGGTAAAATTTGACATGAATGTCATCAGTTCTTTTTTGTTAATAGCTTGAATTTCTTTTCTTTTTTTTAATTTATGGATGAGCTATTCAGGAGATGAATGTCTGGCTTTATTGTGGTGAATAGCATTCTGTCCTCTTTGGTTCTTACCAGTACTCCCTATTGATCACTGCTCAGTAAATTGAGACTTTTCACCAATGTTTTTTCATCCTAGGTAAAGACTTGTTTTTATTTGAATGCCAAGGTATAGAATCTCTGATCAGTTTAGTTTCTCTAGTGTAAGGCTGAATACAATATATTCATTTAATAAGAAATTTGTGTGTGTGTGTGTATGTTTAATAAACGAGTGAAATAACCTCCGTTTTATGGTGTATAATGCAGAATCTGACAAATCGAGATTGATACTTTCAATTTCTCACCTCTTAACTAGATCAGTAAAGGCATTCTGTATGGAAAACTTATGTTGTATATAACATTTAATTACTCTTTCTTGCTGTTGGTTTCTGTTATAAAGTCAGTTGGTGACATCAGAGCTCATTAGGCTGAGTAGACTGGTAGGTTACATTACCATGATCATACTGGTTGGTTACATCACCATTACTAGATTGGCTGGTTCTGTTATCTTGATTGGACTGGTTCATAACATCACCATGACTAGACTGGCTGGTTACATCACCATTACTAGACTGGCTGGTTACATTACCATTACTAGACTGACTGGTTACATCACCATGACTAGACTGGCTGGTTACATTGCCATGACCAGACTAGTTGGTTACATTACTATGATCATACTGGTTGGTTACATCACCATTACTAGATTGGCTGGTTCTGTCATCTTGATTGGACTGATTCATAACATTACAATGACTAGACTGGCTGGTTACATCACCATTACTAGACTGGTTGGTTACATCACCTTGATTGGACTGGCTGGTAACATCACCATGACTAGACTGGCTGGTAACATCACCATGACTAGACTGGCTGGTAACATCACCATGACTAGACTGGTTGGTAACATCACCATGACTAGGCTGGCTGGTAACATCACCATGACTAGGCTGGCTGGTAACATCACCATGACTAGGCTGGCTGGTAACATCACCTTGACTAGACTGGCTGGTTACATCACCATGATGAAACTAGCTGGTATCATCACCATGACGAGACTGGCTGGTAACATCACTATGACTAGACTGGCTGGTAACATCACCTTGACTAGACTGGCTGGTAACATCACCATGACGAAACTAGCTGGTAACATCACCATGACGAAACTAGCTGGTAACATCACCATGAAGAGACTGGCTGGTATCATCACCTTGACGAGACTGGCTGGTAACATCACCTTGACTAGATTGGCTGGTAACATTACCTTGACTAGACTGGCTGGTAATATCACCTTGACTAGATTGGCTGGTAACATTACCTTGACTAGACTGGCTGGTAATATCACCATGACTAGAGTGACTGGTAACATCACCATTACTAGACTGGCTGGTTACATCACCATGACTAGAGTGAGTGGTTACATCACCTTGACTAGACTGGCTGGTTACATCACCTTGACTAGACTGGCTGGTAACATCACCATGACGAAACTAGCTGGTATCATCACCATGAAGAGACTGGCTGGTAACATCACCTTGACGAGATTGGCTGGTAACATCACCTTGACTAGATTGGCTGGTAATATTACCATGACTAGAGTGACTGGTTACATCACCGTGACTAGACTGGCTGGTAACATCACCATGACTAGACTGGCTGGTAACATCACCATGACTAGACTGGCTGGTAATATTACCTTGACTAGACTGGCTGGTAATATCACCATGACTAGAGCGACTGGTAACATCACCATTACTAGACTGGCTGGTAACATCACCTTGACTAGACTGGCTGGTTACATCACCATGACTAGACTGGCTGGTACCTCACCATGACTAGACTGGCTGGTTACATCACCTTGACTAGACTGGCTGGTAACATCACCATGACTAGACTGGCTGGTAACATCACCATGACTAGACTGGCTGGTTACATCACCATGACTAGAGTGGCAGGTTACATCACCATGACTAGACTGGCTGGTAACATCACCATGACTAGACTGCCTGGTTACATCACTGTTACTAGACTGGCTGGTTACCTCACCATGACTAGACCGGCTGGTAACATCACCATGACTAGACTGGCTGGTTACCTCACCATGACTAGACTGGCTGGTTACATCACCATGACTAGAGTGACTGGTTACATCATCTTGACTAGACTGGCTGGTAACATCACCATGACTAGACTGGCTGGTTACATCACTTTGATCTGTATGATGTGATTTTTGGTCAATAACAGTGATAAAATGTCAGAGTAAAGCTGATTATTTTATTTATATTAGTTTTGGATATTCTTTTCTTGTCAATTACTGAGTTCTGTTATTGAGCAGAACACCTCATTATACCGTCATTTAACGACCGAATGCATATATTCATTTGTTTGAAATTACTTGTGTTACTTTGATACTTCTATATAAAGTTTCTAGAGCTTATAGCTCAGAATATTATTTGAACTACTACTTGCTAAGTTTGTTAATATTTGTAAAAGTTTGTATGTATTGAAGAGCATAAGTTATTTACTTGAATAGCTTATCATTAAAACTAGATAGTTTTATAAGGTTTAGACCTCTTAGTGTTTATATTAAACTTTTAGGGGAAGTTTTAACAAAAAGTTTCTTACAGTGTGTACTATTTTGATAAAAAATTTTCATGTCTTAATCCATATTCAGAAAACTAAAAGGCTGACACTTTTTCAGAAGTTAATTATAGAAAGCTGTGTTTATTTTAATTATTTCCATGATCAGGTACAGCGTACATGCATGTCACCATTAGTGGTTGATACGAAAATCAAGTATAATCCAACAAGTGACTCATTCACTGACAGCAATTGTCCAAAGTTCATAATGTTTGGCGAGCATTTATCATCTGACGACTGATAACGTTGGAAGGAGCAAGTCCTTTGAAGCCCTCCAGCATTTAGGTTTGCTGTTACTATTAGTATATACATTGGTGCTATCAGCTTATTGGCTTGTAGCATGTTCCTGTATCTTACCTGATTACGATAAATGTGAAAGCCAGGTGTTGGTCTAACCAGGCATTAGTTTTGAGCAGAGTGGTCAAAAAAGAACCATTTCGTTAACAAGAAAGGTGCCAAGAAAAAACCCATCTACAATATCTCTGAGGTATGCCGGTTTTTTAAACAGCCAAGTAGTTATTAATTGAGAATGTGAAATAATTACTTTTTTCTATGAAGCTTTCTAGAAAATGAGATATAGTATGTTTGATTAATTATTTTAAGCCTAATTATGACCAGTGGTGATGTTTATATTTCATTCTAGTCAAATGATGATTTTTTGTGTTCATGATATTCTCTAAGTAAAAGAGGAAAACTTAATGTTCAGAACAAACAAATTGCACTTTTCTTTAAAATTGAACATTTAAAGTTGTAAATTATTTTTGTTCATTTTTCTTTTTATAAAATAAAGAACTGGGGTGGTTTATGTGATAATATCTATGTTATGAAACTTTCTGTAGGTTGTGAAAGTATTAATATTTGTATGGAGAAAAACCTGTGTAACCTTACTAATTTTTTGAGTTGTTTTCCTTACTTGAAATATGATTCTGTGTATGTGCATATCTAAGTAAAAATTCATAAAACAATTATTAAGACACAGGTAGATTAGTCAGCGTGTATCAAACACCAATTATGTTGTGGTAATTGTCATGAAGTATTAATGTTACTATAAGTCTTTTAAACTTAGTGTCAAACAACAAGAACATTACATGTTAAATCCACAGTGCATACAGTGCAAGTACAGATAATACATATCTGTAGCTGGGTGTGTGCTGAGTTTTATATAATTATCTGAAGTAGCTGGGAGATAGTGTCAGAATGTTTGTTGAACTCCATACAAGTATATGGGTATTTAGCTATTCAAGATGTATGTGATTTTTTTTTTGGCCTTGAATTAGCTATGAATTTCTGTAAAAAACCATAAAAACAATGTTTTTGAACATTGTAAATGTAGTGTTTATAAGTTTTTCCTAAACTTCTGTTTATCTATTACAGTTGATATGTATCATTTTGGAAGATATACTTTTATATACTGTTACTTATCTTTTTCTTTTAATTAAGTAAATAAGGCTCCCATTCTTTCACTGATTACTGAGGTTTGGTAAAGCCGTGTACTGTTAAGTCAGAAACCTTGTAGTTTTCAGCTCTCTCTCTATAAGAATATATACATGTGTGTGTGTGTGTGTGTGTGTATACAATAAGAGTACTAAAATGATGTCAGGTTCTGTAGAACATAAATGTTTTGTCCTAGCCATGCTCTTCTGATTCAACATGTAATATTAAAACTTCTCTGCTGAACTCTAATATACTATCCATAACTACTGGCTACATTTTGTAGAAGATGACGATCTAACTTATAGATTGTTTTTAAAAATTTTAAATCTCCGTTAATAACTTTTATATTCTTATTATCTTCAAAAACTTTATCTTTTCAGCTTTCAGTAACTTGTGTATTATATCTCTTCTTTCTGGTTGTTCTTTTACAATATACCATCACTCGTACAATAAGTAAGTTTTTTTCACTTTGTCCAAGGGAATTGGACACTTTTTTTGTAATCGCGAATCTTATTGTTATAAACATTATGGTTAGGGCTTCTGTTTTTTGTCTTTTTTTTTAATCGGTGTTTATTTTTACCTGTGTTAGTTTTATTTAGATATCTTGAAATTAGTATTTTTAGGGCTTTTCAATTTTATATTTATGTAGATGTCTTAAAATCATTATTTTTTTAAAGTTTTCACTTTTAATACTGTATTGAGTACACTAATATACCGTATATATTTTCTGCACACTAATTTCTCTTAGGGGAGTAATAACAGGTACAAAACACAGTTCTATTTATGTTAAAACTTTGTAGGAGCAGCTAACATTTTATATCAAATTATAAAAACAAAACTACCACTAACAAAATGTGTTTCCTTTCCTTAAGAGTAACGTTCCAAGGTAATGTAGTCTGTATGGAAATGGTTAAATATCGAGAGCACAGTAACTGGGTAAAGTGGAGATATTAATGTAGAGTAAACTGAATAACCATTTCCAGTGTTTATTGGAAAAACACCAATTTTATTTTTGATTACTTCAGGGATGTTTTATTAGTTAAAACCAAGAATCTGAAGCCCTTATTATGGTGGATGTGTTTGATACTTTTACCTGCAAATGAATTTAGTTTAAACCACATGCTAAAGAAATTATACCAGTAACTTTGAAGTTTTACTTTTAAACTATAAAGTGTTTCAAATAGCAGCTGTGTTAAAAGTAAATGCAGTTATTTTAAAATAAGCCTTCTCGTATATATATTAAAGTAAGAATTTATATTTAAAAATTTAATGTTTAAGTTTTCTTTTTACATCTAACTTAAACTTTTAGGCACATACTTTTTTCAGTCACATCATGCTCAAAATCATCGTTAGATAATTCAGGTTCAGAGCCAGAATCATCGTCAGCTTGCACAAATTCAGTTGTCTCTTGAAGTGTGAAAATTTTGAAACAATTTGACACCATTTTGGGTCTGTTTTTTTTTAAAAAATTAACAATTTTCACCTGCAGATATTACCGATGTTTGGAATAGCAATATACACATGTTGGATATGAATTAGCAGCAGCTAAGCTCATAATCTGCACTAATGCACTAATTAGGCTTTGCTGGTTGATTTTGTGTACTTGATTCACATTTGTTGTGGAAGATTCAAAGTGCATTATGTGGTCCCCATACAGTGGCAGGCATGCCTAAAGGGTTAAAAAAGATTTAATTTTTTCATATATAAATGTTATAGTGTGAGAAAACAAAGTAACTTGAAACATATTGAATATATTATGTAAATCAATGACAGAGGTACAAAATACTCATGTTTTTAAATGGTATTTTCTTCTTCGGTTTTGATACATAAAAATGCCATGTTTTGTCACTGAATGGTGTGTATTTTAATAAGTTATAAAACAGTTGCATTTCATGAGATAAAAGAATAATTTTTGTCATGGCATTGACAGGATGATAAAATTGTCTATTTTGTTTCATTGTTATTAATCATGGATGTACTTGAACCTTTAAGAGTTAAAATCTAGTTTGGAGGTTGTTCTAACCAAAGGTGTTATATTTGTTGCAATAATGAGAAAATGTATACATTTTAAAACTGTCCAATAGCAACTGGAAAAGTATTAGGCTAACTACTAACAGATTGTATGCTTTAACCCAGACATTCCCAACCTGGGGTACATTTGCACTTCTCAGGGGGTACATAGGGGTCTGAGAGTATAACCATGGTTTACACTTTACATGGTGTTTTAATCTACAGTCAGACAAAGAGAGCAAAGTGGCTCACATAAATATACGCTTTTTAGACAAAAAGTTGTGATCATGGTGAACGTTGTGATGTTATTGCTGAGCTACATTATAACTCATGTTTTCAATAAGTAATGTAGAACATAAGCAATACAGAACACCCTCGTTACAAATCATCTGATAAGCTAGGGATCAGCCAACTGGGCAAGCTCTCCTCCCTCCATTAGTGCTTTGGGAGAGAATTCCCAAGGAACAAAAAGGTTGGGAATCCCTGCTTTAACCAATCAAAATAGTTCAGATAATGTCTTTGAAAAAAAGATATTCATGAACTTCAATAAGATGAATTGTAATAACTTTATTCATGAACTTCAATAAGATGAATTGTAATAACTTTATTCATGAACTTCAATAAGATGAATTGTAATAACTTTATTCATGAACTTCAATAAGATGAATTGTAATAACTTTATTTTGATGCATGGCCCCATGCTTGTATCATTTTTTATCTATACGGAAAAAGAGGTATAATTTTTTTGTTTATTGTAGTCACAAACATTGTGTGGAACATGGTATGTTTTGCTAGAATGTTTGTGGAACAAATACGTTCAGTTCAGAAGTATTGTAAAGTATGATCTCACCTTTTTTTTTTATCACTGCAGTTTATCAGGCTTTTAGATAAAACTCCAATTGCCTTGTTCATATTTACAGAATAAACACAAATCATGACCACTGTGAAAGTGTACTTGTATAATTGTACTGTATAATGTCATACAATCACCACCACCACCTTCCCTATTTCCACCTACCTGCACCTTTATGTTGAATCCTTGCTATAATTTTGTACAAATTGAAAATTTCTAGCATAGAATTAGATAAGATTCTTTAGCTTGTAGGCTTTCAAAATATTATTTATACTGAGTGTTAACTTTGTTAAAAAACAACAACAAAAAACTCTGTAGGTACGATCTATAGCTTTATATTTTCTGTTTTAAAAATGCTTGTTTGAATAAGAGCATGAAAAAGTGTGGGCTTTCTGTTTTGAATTTCCTGAATGTTATTTTTCCAACTGGTTTTAAACTTTTCTAATTTATGATATATTTCCTGCAGCTTGAGTGATATTGAAACTTCGGGAGTTGTAGTATGACTTTCCATATTTGTGGATGTACATTCCCTTTATATTTTTGGGGGGGAGGTTAAACTATATTAGAAATTTGAGCATACCTTTGGATCAAGGCATCTGCAAGAGTGTGCTAGAAAGTCAGTCCTCAGATCTGCTTTTTCTTCACTCATCTGCATGAAATAGTGTTCTCGTTCTCCTCAGTATCTCTTTCTCTTTTTTGTTTTTTTAATTTTGAAAATATATAGGCTGTATTATGTCAGGACATCTAATTTCATCTATTTAGTTATTGTATAAATCACATTTGACATAAATCCACAGAATAAAAGTGTGTGGTAAAATTTCAAGCCATTAGGCTTACTCAAAACCTTTTTTGTTTGTGGAGGAAGTGGGAAATTAGCACTTATAACGTCTTGAAAATATGCCCCTGATAACTCGGTGACTTAATGGATTTTGTTTATACTGATAAAATGAGGAATGGTAAAAATGTGGTAACATAAAATCTATAGTGTAGGATCGGTGGAAGTTTCCAGATTACTGAAAAAAATATATTGAAAATCGAAAGTGAGCATAGATAAAAATCACATTTTTTGATACATTATTATGAAAACTTATTTAAAGATTTTCCTTAGGATGTATGCTTTAAATTTTTGTTAAAAAATCCACTCAAAGACGTTTTTAAGATCAAATTTAAAGATTAATTAGTTTGTGTTTTGGATAGACAATATTTTATAGGCTGTAGCACTTAGTTGTAAGTAGGTTCAGAAAATATTTCAGAAACTAAGTTATGTGACTAAAAACAATTTTAGTTTAGAATGAATTCCTTAGACACGGTGAAAAAAGTTTGTTGTGGGTTTGAAACAGCAAAATAAGTGTTTTAATAAGTTCAAATCATTCTGATTTTATAATGTTCATTAGTAAAGTGATGGATGCTTGTAAGAACTACCGAGACTTATTTTTTTCAAATTTTTTGTTTTATGTTTTATAAATTTAATTTGCATCATGCAAGTGTCTTTAAAATTTTTGTTTTGAAATTGAAAAATTGTTATGTCTTGAATTTTAGGTACATTTGTTTGACTAAGATGGATATCAACTGCATAAGATTTCGGTGTATAAGAAACGACACTTGGGAAACATTTGAGAAATTTGAGAAAAAAATTATTGTTTATTCTACTATTTAGTCTTAGAGAAATTTACAAGATTAAAACTGCAGTCTTTGTTCATTCTTTTAAAAAAAATTACAAGAATAGTTAACATGCAAAATTTGTTGAAAGTGGAGACATAAATTCCTTTCGAGTAAACCAAATCATATGGTGATGATAAAATGTTATTAAAACAGATGTGGTAGTGAAGTGGGTGATATATTGACACTGTATGCATGTTGAAAAACCTCTGTGCATTATTGAGATAGTTGAATATGATTTGAAATTGGACTTGAACTACTTGGTCTAGAGGATACTCGTATCGAAAGTAATCATGGATTTTAGGGTGCTTGTGACCGATAAATATCACAGTCTGATTTTACAGAGATTATTTATAGTGAAATATATCTTCATAATCATAAGTGCAAGTGTCGGAATCATTGTGGTATAAGAACTGATTTTTTTTTTCCTTATTCAAAATGGCCAGTCTTGTGTACAACAAATTGAAACAAAATTGAGTTAAGCACTAGAATAATTAAACTTCTAAATGGGATATAATGTAGAGTTTATTGAGAAAAAGGAAAGAACATTATACGTCATTCAAAGTTGAAGTTATTCTAGTGATCTTGTGTTAACAC